AATCTTTCTTCTCAGCTAATTAATATATTTAAATACAGGTTTAACTGGAAATGAAAAACACATTTATCAAAGGTTACATACATCTTAACTTACCAAGAAACATTAGAGCAGTTTGAATCCATGGATGTTCAAATTGGTGTTTTTCCTTACCATTCATATCTTTCAGTCCCCTAGCTCTAAACAAAATGGAACAGAATGAGAGTAACAATTTATTTCTCATTTAGTTTTGGAAAAATTTGTCCAAGTATGCAATATATCAATCAGCAAATCAAAATCAATTAGATAAAATGCAATGACTTGTTTCTAGGAGATATAAATATATTAAGAAATCATTGGATGAGGCTGAGCATGATTTTATGAATTATCAATGCTGAGGTCTGAGTTATCTGCTGAGGTGGAAGGCTGGGATTTGATAACTCATGATATCATGCAAAAGCCAAATTCAATAACAGTTTTGTTGAAAAATTTTTAAAACAATCTGCAAAAGTAGACTTTCTCTGAGTTTGCAAAAGTTTAAGAACTGTACATGAACAAGGGATTTGGAAGACTTTAAACTTGACATGATAACCCAATCTACTGCAGATAACAAACGAGTACAAAGTGCAAGAAGTGTCCTTTTAAAAGATGGCTTCAAGATCCCTCCTTATCAATAAAAGTAAGATGATATCACAATCCAATCTATCAAGCTTTTCCGTGTTAAAAACTCAACAATGTGTTGAAAATTCATATCAGAGTCACCTATGTTTCTTTCGGTTTCAATAGTGCCACAACTGGATTCACTAGCACACAACCAACGCTGAACTGAGCGAGGCGTCAACAACGTAACTGAACATACGAAGTCAATGTCGCAACAGCCCAGCAAGAATGTGCAATTAAACACACACACAAAATACAGTTCTATAAAATGTTTCCTGATTGCCCAATATCAGCCTTTAAATCTTCTCACACAACAACTTTAGTGAAACTTACGAACAGTTGTTTTGTGCTTTAAGAGTGACAGTGTTAAGTGAACCTGCGATCAGCATTCCAACAGTCAACAAAAGCTGAGTACGTGTAAGGCCCGCCATCTTCCCCCACTCAACAAAATATTGATCTAGATACTAAATGAATGCGAACACAAAGAAATCGTCGGAGTTATCGCGTGACTTATCGCCTGAATGTTCATAATCGTCACGTGACTACCATAGTGAAAGGAATTGTCACAAACAACCTTGGCGTAGCCTAATCAGTTCCATTGGAGTCTGTGAATGAGATCGGCAAAAATATGAATAAAAAACTGGATAAATTGTGGTAAATGCAAATGCAAATGGCATAGTTCACCTCTGATTGATAGAGAAATAACCAAAAAAAATGTCTTCTCCAAGATGATTACCAAAAGCAGACCGAAAACCATTATTGCCATATGCCAGCATTGAACCCTAGGGTGCGCTTTTTCGTGGGGTACTTGCAGATTTTCTACATCCTACGCTCAATACACACACAGAAAAAGGACAATTACTCTATGGTTCTCGAGTGTTCATAATTCGTGATCGAGGCATTCGAGTGGTTAAAAACAGCAGGAAAAATTCAAACAATAACGTATAGATTAAACACCCAGCCACTGCCCCTGAGGAATGAGCCCACAGTCCTTCTCCGGTCAAAACAGTAAATTCCCTCATACTGGTCTACGAGAAATACGTTGTTTCGTCCCAGTGCGAGGAGACGTCGGAGAGAGAGCGTGAAGAGATAAAATGCTTAGAGTGAGAGCTGACTGCAATCAGCGTTTTAATGATATCAACAGTTTTTTTCTGGTTTGTTT